CTGTTATGTATTACTTGGCATGTTTATATTTTCATAGAAGCACTGAATGATGTTCACAAATGTAGGAGTGATTTCATGCAGTGTAACAACTTCCATAAAACTGTTCTATCCCCTGTATCAGAGGCTTTTTGGAAATATATAAAATTCATATAAAGCTATTGGTTAGACAGTCATGTGATGATACGTAGGGTTAGTATTTGATCTATGCATGATTTCTCATGTCTGAACCCTGCCTGTTCTTGTCATAGCCTTGAATCTATCACTTTCTTTTTTGTCTAGAATAATATGTATAAATATGTTACTTGGGATAGGCAGCAATTGAATGCCCCTCCAGTTTTTACACTGACAAAGGTTGTCTTTCTTTGGCAGCTTCACTATGACGCTTTTCCTTCTTCCCATATCTTTTGTAAGAGACCTATCAAATGTCTACTTAAGTTTGCTTTAAGAACCTCCACTGAAATATTATCTGGATCTTTCCAGACTCCTAGAGAAATAAAAGCTCTATGTCCCTTATTAGATAAAGAACGCATTATCTACATCATTAACATATAGGCCTCCAAAGTAGTCCTAAAGTCACAGTACAGCACATAGGCACATGCATAACTTTTGAGCACATGAGTTGTGCCACTGAAGTTAATGGGTTCTCATGTTTAGCACAATTTGTCGGAGTCACAAAGAACACATCATCATCAGAAACCTAGCATCAAATCTTAAACATGAATTCTGAGGGGAAAAAAAATCTTTGTGATTAAGGGAACCAGGTAATAGAAAGCTCTGATTTCGAAGGCATTTGACTCCACTACTTCAGCAAAGCTAAAAAATAGGAAACATGGTCAGTTAGAGCACAGAGCTCCATAATGGCAACTGAAAACATTTCAGTGGCATTAGTCTGCATATGCTAGGACCTGTATCTGCATGGAAAGAAATGCATTTACTGCCTTGGTGGTAATAACTAGCGAGGCACATTGAATCTTGCAATGAGCTCTGTGTGGGTGAACCCCCTGCAGGATCAGGGCCATGGTATGTAACATGGGATTTGATATTGCAATTCTGATGCAGGTGAAACTCTCATTGAAGCCAGTTGCACCTAGCTGACTTCAGTGGGACTCTGTCTCCATGAGTACTGCAGAATCCAGCTCAATATGCTTAAACAAAGCTTGCTCCGCCTCGCTAAATCAAGTATCAGTGAACAAACAAATAATAGTCAAGTATGGACCATTTAAAGAATGTAAACAAATATGCACTTGGTGAAATTAAACGAATCTGGCATTTGTAGAATGCCTGTTTGTTAAAGTTACTCTTCTAGTTCTGCCAGACTGGAGTCTAATTTTTTTTGCCAGGGTATTATATGCAACCTGGAAGATTTACAGGATTGAAGTAACAGTCTCCTAGCAACAACATGTCCTCTGACTCTCTTCTTTGATAACCATTAAAATATATGTTAATGGCACTAGATATTACAAAATGAAATGTTGAGTTCCATAACTAATGAAATGAAGAATTTTGATTTACATCTTCAGTTCAGAATAACAATGCATTGGGCTGGAATGACAACATGGTTACTAAGATACCTCCATGTAGTTTATATTGCCAGCAATTTGCTTAGTTACTCATTACTGGGTCCCAATACTGCAAACACTTAGGCACCTAAGTACACACATGAGGAGCCCCATTGAACTTGGCAAGACTACTCATGTGTTTAAGTGTTTGGAGAATTAGGGTCTTAATGTCTGCACGTTGGCTTGTATGCATTCTAAACCTCCCCCCCCCACCCCACCTCTCTTAATAGGAAATCCTTTTTTGACAACCTGAGAACAGGGAGTCAAAGAATTTAAATCCTAATGGCAAAATTCTGTGCTCAGATCCTCATGGGAAATTTTGACTGATATAATGCTCTCCCCTGGAATTCACAGGAGTGCCTCAACCCTATGAAGTGCAGTATATCACTCAAAATGCAGCTATGAGATCAGGAGTGCAGAAAAGAAGGAACAGACATGTTAACTGAAAAAAAAAATCTGCCAACTAAGTCAGTCTATACAGGGAGCAGCTACAGTAGCTTGCCAGTAGATTTCAAAAGGGGTGCACAGATGTAAGCCAGCACAGAATGCAGGACTCTGCATTTAGGGTAGGATCAAAAGAGCATGATGAATTACTGTTTTTAATAGGGTGAAGCAAGAAGGCCCATGACTCCAGAGAGTACTGGTCAAAATGTTTTGAAATCAAAGATTGACACCCCTCCCAAAAAAGAGGGGGGGAGAAAGGAGTGGGGAAGTTTTCTTCATAAAAACTTCAGCAAAGATTTTTCTTCTGTATTTTGACCATCTATTTCTAACTGAGGAGCCCAGACAAGGAAGTATTGAAAGGAAGAAACAAAAGAAAATAAGGTTTTCATAAGTGTAGATTTTAGAAAAATTGATTATTCCTGTGGAAAAGGGCTACAGAACTTAAAATAAAATATCTGCTATAGAATTGTATAGGAGGTTTCCAAAAATTATTCAAAAGGTACCACAGAGAGGAAGGATGGTCCAGGTCTAGGCAATAGCTGATCGCCATATTTGGGGTCGGGAAGGAATTTTCCTCCAGGGCAGATTGGAAGAGGCCCTGAAGGTTTTGTGTCTTCCTCCATAGCATGGGGCACGGGTCACTTGCTTGAGGATTCTCTGCTCCTTGAAGTCTTTAAACCATGATTTGAAGACTTCAATAGCTCAGACATAGGTGAGAGGTTTATCGCAGGAGTGGGTGGGTGAGATTCTGTGGCCTGCGTTGTGCAGGTCGTCAGACTAGATGATCATAATGGTCCCTTCTCACCTTAATATCTATGAATCTATGAATAGCCTAGGACCTAGGAGATTCATGTTCAAGCCCCTGGTCCATCACAGACTTTCTAAGTAACTTCGGGTAAGTCACTTAATCTATCCGTGCCTCAGTTTCCCATCTGTAAAATGGGGGATAATAGGACTTCCCTACCTCACAGGGGTGTTGGAAGGATAATTAAGAACATAAGAATGGCCATACAATGACAGACTAATGGTCCATCAAGCCCTGTCTTCCGACAGTGGCTGCTGCCAGATGCTTGAGAGGGAATGAACAGAACTGGGCAATTTATCATGTGATCCATCACCTATCATTCAGTCTCACCTGCTAGTAATCAGAGGTTTAGGGACACCCAGAACATGGAGTTGCATCCCTGACCATCTTGACTAATAGCCATTGATAGACCTATCCTCCAGGAACTTCTCTAATTCGTTTTTGAATCGAGTTATACTTTTGGCTTTCACAACATCCCCTGGCAATGAGCTCCACATGTTGACTGTGTGTTGTGTAAAGAAGTACTTTGTTTATTTTAAACCTGCTCCATATTAATTTCACAGGGTGACCCCTGGTTTGTGTGTTCTAGGAAGGATTAAATAGCACTTCCTTGTTCACTTTCTCCGCACCACTCATGATTTTATAGCCCTCTCTCATATTTCCCCTCGGTCATCTCTTTTCTAAGTTCAACAGTGCCCATCTTTTTAATTTCTCCTGTGTGGAAGCTGTTTCATACCCCTAGTCATTTTTGTTGCCCTTGTCTATACTTTTTCCAATTCTAATTATCTTTTTTTTTGAGATGGGTCGACCAGAACTGCGTGCAGTACTCAAGGTGTGGATTCATATAGCAGCATTATGATATTTTCTGTCTTATCTATTCCTTTCCTAATGGTCCCTAATATTCTGTTAGCTTTTTTGACCACTGCTGCATCTAAATACCTAAGATAGATTCTATAGGTTTTAGAGTAATTTTTACAGAACCCCATTAAGTATCTGCAGAGACCCGTAAGGTTCATCCTTATTAAATTCTGTAGGACTTTTTTTTTCTGTGAGGAGCTGTCCTGAAAAGAAGATGGATCTGTTGTTTTTCTTACACAGAAAGAGTAACCATACGTTTTTGGTCAGAAAAGATAGAGCAAATGTAAAGTCTCCATGAGAGAGCACAATTTGTTTGCCCCAGAGTGGTCTGCGTCTGACCACAAAATGACAGCTGCCTCAGCAGCAGGTATTTAAAGGTGCAGTATATAGAAAAGAGTCTGAACTGAGTTATACACACTGCAATGTACATAATTAGTAAGTGTGGTTCAAGTAAAATGGACTGGTATTATCCAAGCAAACAAAGTCCAATAAAATGTCTAATAGAGATATGTCATTATTGTTCTGCTATAGGTAGGTCCTAGAAAGATCACAAGCACATCTACACTGCCAAAAAAACCCACCACCAACCCTAAACAAATCACAGCAGCGAGTCTGAGACCAGGTCAATTGATTCGGGCAGGCGCTAAGGGGCAAAAATAGCAGTGTAGACATTCCTGCTTGAGCTCTGAGACCTGCCCCCTCCCGGCAGTTTTCAGAGCCTAAGCTCCAGCCCAAGCTGGAACGTTTCCAATGCTTAGCCCCATAGCATGAGTCTGAGTCAGTGGACACGTGCTCTGAGACCCACTGCCATGTGTGGGTTGTTGGGGTTTTTTTTTCTCACAGTGTAGACGTGCCAGATCCTTACCACCGTAAAGAAGTAGAGTACCTGTGTCTGATCATGTGCTGGCAGGGCATTTTGCCATTCAATATCCTGTTACAATAAAATTGTAAGGGAAAGTAAATTTTCCTTTCATCAGCTCTTTTGAGTATGCTGTCAATAGACTCAGCCTGCCAACCGATTACTGTAATAGTGTAAGAGGAAAGCTACTTACAAATTGGATTTGTAGGTATTAAAACAAGACCATAAACAGGCCTAAAATGTTCCTGACTCTGTATCCTACTGCTAAAATAGCTAAAATGATGGAATTCCATGACTTTGAGCAAGTTCTTTCTTCCCCATTCAGAGATTCTTCCCTCCTTTAATGCCTATACCATTATTTGATTCAAAAGTAAGATTTGTTTCTGCATCATGGAAGCAGTGTGATTTCTTTAGCTACATCGTTAGTCACATGCCAGACACTATGCACACACTCTCCTTTGGGTCTCTGCCTTACCTAGACTTTGAGTGACATCTGAGCCACAGACCATATGTGAATCGATGCAGGTGCAAGAGATCGTTCTTCCATTCACATCTCACAGGGCTGCAATAGAGAGAACTGGAACAGAAGGCTGAAACTTAAGTAGAGGCCATAAGGAGGCTATGGAGAGAAGAATGAGAAATTTCATACGATGACATCCTATACCAGAAACTAACGTTCTGTTGTGCTTGTGAACTGTGTGTGTTAGTGTTACGTTAGCCCCTTAGTGACGCATCTCCCAGCACCTTGTTGGGCTAATGGATTCTGATGTGTGCCAGCTTTGGCATGGAATGTGGCGTGAGAGGATCTGCACTTGCTGCAGGGATAGGAGCTGCAAAACCATTGGAAGGGAAGGATTCTGGGAGTTGCTCTGCATGAAGTCGATGGCCTCCCACCCCCAAACGGGCCTTTATATCCTAACCCTCTTTCCCTCCTCCTGAAATTGCAGAAGGTTCTGCCATAATCCCATTATTGCTCCTTTTGTGGTGAGTGAGAGGGACTGGAGTGCACTCCCTGAAGTTGTTTATTTGTAAGGAGGGGAGAGGGCGTGGTGTCACTGGAATTGTTTTTCTCCCACAGCGAGCTGCTCCTCGCTGCCTATTGAGGATGGGCTCCGGTTTGGTTCAATCCTGTGAGCTCTCTTATTGGAGTTGTCAGCAGGGGGTTGCTCTCTGGGTGATGGCTTCAATGTGGCCCATATGATCTCCTCAGTTGCTACTCCAATAGGAAGGAACCTGTCCCCTCTGCCAACACATTATAGAGTCACTTCCTCTCGTGTCAGCATGGGCTGGGGCCCTAAGTGCAATATAGCAGCTGGTAGGATGGAGTCACAGAGGAGATGAGGATGGGTGTCTGCACACTTCTGAGCACCTGATCAGGATCTGTGCAGGCATTCACATCTGCAGTGCCTATTTTACAGATGGGGAACTGAGGCACAGAAAGGCTAAGTGACTGGCCCAAGGTCACACAGGAAGTCTGTGGCAGAACTGAGAATTGAACCAGGTTTCCCACAGGCAGATTTGATGGAGGAGAGACATTAAATTAGGTTAGATCTGAGAAAATGGTTTTCTCTCTAATAAATATTGTTGGATAGCAATTCAATATCTTCATAGAAACTACTCTCAATTACTATTGAATTTAGTAGAGGATGGGCTCATGGCTTTTTGGACCATCCTGTACAATCTGACAACATGGCAATCTCTCGTACATTCTGTAGGATACTTCTAAAAGAGACCTATAGAATGATTATTGTTTCCTATTAAATTCCATAGGGCCTTTCCACAATGATTTTGTACCTCTAGAAATTTAAGGACATTAATGTGAAAAATACCTGGATATTTTCAGAACAGGCCCTGACCTAGTGCCATTGACTTCAGTGGTGCAGGGTCAGACACTTGGCTTGGACAACACAGCTGCTTTCATTTGGAGGGGTGGTGAATATCTTTAGAACTGTACTGTATTCAGCATCACCACGAGACTGGCTCTGGGCATCAAAACAATAGGTGCGCACAGAAGAACAGGAATAACTCGTTCCCAAGATCCCAGCACAATGCACAGGTTTGGGGAATAGGCAATGTTTGACTGGGAAGCTAGTAAACTAATAAATATTTAAGTAACACTGTTTATTTTTTGTTGCCACTCGCTTTCAATTAAAGGTGAAAACAAGGAATGTTTAAAACAAAAGTTTCTCATTTGAGAACCAAAATTGGAGGAAGAATCAGAGGATGGTCCTATGGCTAAGGCAGCACAAAGGCTCAAGAATCTGGGTTCAGTTCTTGGATCTTCCCCAGATCTCCTATGTGATCTCTAGCACCCCAATCCTGCCAACACTTATGTATATGCTTAACTTTACTCACATGAGAGGTCTCACTGAAGTTAAGTGTTTGCTGGTCGAGGCCTTACTCTGTACCGCAGTTCCCCATCTGTAAGATGGGATACTCCTTCTCTCCTGCCCTTTCTTTTATATTTACCTGCCCCAAATAGTTGCAGTCTCTTACTATAGGCTTATAAAGCATCTTGCACAACGGTGCCCCAATCTCACTCCTTAGAGCAGTATGTAGATTACATACACTGCATGCTCCCCTGGCATGGTTATAAGCAGCAGCATAGGCCATGAGGCAGTGCTTGGGCAAGTAAAGATACACCTGAACACTGTGGAGGACATACCCTACATGGCTCTCCACACACCCAAATAGTGCCTCCCCTGTCTGCACCGTGTAGTGTCAGCTCCCTGCTGCCAGAGCCTTTCCCCACTGCCTCCCAACTGCTAGAGTCTTTCACTGATGCATCTGGCTACAGACCATAGTGTTGCACAGATTACTTTTCACTGTGGCATGTAGCTATGTGTACCCACCAGTGGTATGCAGTGTAGACATACCTTCAGTTAAACTACTGTAATAATAATTTGAGGTCAGATTCCAAGAGGAATGATGGTCCAGTAGTTCATATCCCTGCTCTACCTGGTTTCAATTTCCTGCTCTGCCACAGATTTCCTATGTAACCTTGGGAAAGTCATCAAGTCTCTCTGTCTCAGTTCCCCATTTGTAAAATGGGGATAACAGTACTTACCTACCTTCCAGGGGAGTAACGAGGATAAATACTTTTAAAGATTGTGAGACAGGAATGTCATATAAATATTTCAGATAGATTCACTAAGCCTCCTTTTACACTACTCCAGCATGGTAAAGGGACCTTAATTTGGGTGTAAAGTACATTGAAGGCCCCTTTACAATACCAGAGGCATGTAAGGATCCTTAGTGTAAATAAGAATCAAGCCCTGAATCTCAAACAGTGAAATATAATTAGTTTGCTCCTGCACTAAAATAAACAAAGCGCATTAATTTGCTGAACAATTTGTATCAAAGCTACAAAGGATCAAACTGAAGTTCAATGCTGAAAAACTCACTGACAAATAAATCAGCCTTCTAAAGCAGGAAATGCAGGCTGCAGACAAATAAGTAAAACAGATACACAACCATGTAATACATGACTATATTTACATTAAATTCTTTTGCTGGTGTCCAAACCCAGGAACAGAGAGCGGAAGCCCAAGATGGAATTTAGTCATATAGTTCAGCTGTGAAATCTGTTGTTCATTTTAACAATAGGTGTGTGAGGCACTGAAGCACAGCACCAGGGAGATCAGAGTTGTCACCAACATGACAAGATAATGAATCCAGCAAGACACAAAGTTTCAGGTGAAGGTTAAAAGTAAGGGAGAGAAACAAATGGAAACAAGAGAACTCAAATAGTCAAAGAAAAAAAGACACGCAGATTTTCCATGAGTAAGCCAGAAAAAAGACTTATGGCAGTCAGTGCTGATTATACATACATATATATATGTAGGGCTGGAACATATCCTGATTCTTTGACCTCTGTGGGGCCAGGATTTCACCCTACAAATTTAGGGCCCTCCCCAGTTGTCAATATGAGTTTTACCATTGACTGCTGTAGAGCTGGACTTCACCACCAGTACATAGGAACTTCCTCCTTCCAGGCCACTTCCTGGAGGGATGGACATGATTTAGCCATCCCTATGCAGTCTCACATTCAAACAAACATACTCCTATACAACTGAGGTAGGGAGGAGTACTGCTGGCTCCTAACATCTCACTTGCTATTAGTATAAAGTAAAATGTAATAATAATGTACATACTTGGTACTTTAATAGGGCCAATTTCACCACGTTGAAAACAATTGAGCCAAATCAGCTGGGAGGGAGAATTTAGCCAGAAAAATGTGAATGATGACTGGGAATCATTTAAGAACACTTTATTAGATGCCACAGTCCCACAACAGAAGAAAACTGTACTGGTTAAAAAAACAACCTGGTTTGAAGGGGAAGTGAAGACCGCTGTAAATTTTTTTTTTTTTTTTTTTTACAAATGTAACAAATGGAAGAAAGGGGATTTCTTCCATTTGTTACATTTGTAAAATGTTACATCTGATAGTAATGAATACAAATCAGAAGTTAGGAATTGCAGAAAATTGCTAAAGGAAGTAAAGGGACATGAGGAGAAATCTAGGCCCAGCAGACTTAAAGACTATAAGTAAAAAGTTTTAAAAAATATATTGGGAACAAAAGAATCCTGACAATGGTATTGGTCCATTACTAGATGGAAATTATAGAATTAGCAATAACAATATAGAAAAGGCAAACCTGTTCAATAAATATTTCTGTTCTATATATCATATGGTGATAAAACTCTTTCTGTTCCATTAGTATGGCTGGAGCATGTTAAACAGAAGCTACTAAAGTTAGACATTTTAAAATCAGCAGGTCCGGATCACTTGCATCCAAGGTTTTCAAAGAGCTGGTTGAGGAGCTTGCTGGACCATTAACGTTGATTTTTTTTCAGTAAGTCTTGGTGTGGTGGGGAAGTTCCAGAAGACTGGAAGAAAGCCAACGTTGTGCCAATTTTTTAAAAAGGGTAAATGAGATTAGTCAGGTAATTAAAGGCCTGTCAGCCTGACATCGATCCTAGGCAAGATGGTGGAGCTGCTGATACAGGACCTGATTAATAAAAATTAAAGGAGAATATTGTAATTAATGCAAATCAACATGGGTTTATGAAAAACTGATCCTGTCAAAGTAACTTTATCTTTTTTTTGGATGAGATTACAAGTTTGGTGATAAAGGCAATAGTGTTGATGTAGCATACTTAGACTTATGTAGGACCTTTGTCTGGAACATACCATTAATTTATAGAGTTACATAGGACCAGATAGTGACTTTCTTACTTCATGAGAGGTCCCACTGAAATCAACAAGACAACTTGCAGAGTAAGAGACTATGCAACATAAATAAGGATACCAAAAGCTGGCTCATGGTGTCTTTCATATTATACTTCCCCCTTTTTTAGTACAGCTGAATATCTTTTTAATTCCTTGTGACTGCCTTGTGAGAAGATGGTTTAGAGGAGACAAGAAAGGATGCCATAGAAGTATACAAATCAATTAACAGCATAAAGGTGATCTGTTGGTGACCAACTTGGTAACCCTGGTTCTGCAGCCTTCAGTGCTTTATGTGCCTATAGTTAAACAACAAATTTATAAGCAAGTTATAGAACAACCACCAAGTTAAGATCCATGCCACGCTGAATCACACCATCTAAACCAGTCTCCCAGAATGGTCTATACTAGATGTGTCAGGAAAGTACAAGAAATGCTGTAGTGAATGTGTGGAAGAACTTTTCCATGAGGAATGTTTCTTCTTAACTTGTCAATCCACAGTTGGCTTATGGTTTGAGGGTATGTATTCCTTCTAAACAAACATTTTAGTCTATCTACCATAAATGTGGATTTTTTCATCCTCCAAATAAATGCCCAATTGTGTTCTATATCCTACTAATCTCATTGGTCTCCATATTATATTGTGGCAGAGAGTTCCACGGGGAAGTTATACATTGAATAAAATGGTTCCTTTTAGCAGTTTTAAATTTAGTGCCTTTCAGTTTTACTGAAGGTTTCATTATGCTTGTATTATAAGAGTCTAAAGTGGAGCACCTTATTTACCAGCTCTAAACCATTCATTGTTTTCTATCCCACTCTGATATTTCCTCTAAATTAAACAGTCTCAACCCCATCAGTCTCTCCCCAAACAGAAGTCTTTCTAAACTTTTACTAGGTTTCATTGCTCATATCTGAAATCTATTTCTGCACTGCCATTTTTGAAATAAGGTGACCAAAACATACCCAGTGTCAAGACTGGGAGGTGGGCAATTTGACCTAATGGTGAGATCAGGGATGGTCAGAGCCAGAGTCAGGAAGCAAGAATCAAGCAAGACTCAGGTCCAGTGCAGCTGCCAGTCAGGAAGTGTCTCAGACATTCAGACAACTTCCCGTGCCTCCTTTTAGCTTAAATAATATGGTTAGGCCAATCAGTAGAGCTGGTCATCATCCCAATCAGGATCATCATGGGCGATACCTCTGGGAGGGGGGTCAGATTTCTGCTAGCTCATCACTTCCAGTAGTTCTGGATGAGTTGCCCAGTGGTGGCCAGGGTGTGATGGCTGCCTGGGAACCTGGGGGCCCTTACACCAGATATTCTAGGTGAGGGTGAACCACTGATTTATAGAATATTGTCAGTATATTTTCCATCCTAAACTTTATATGTAGTAAGTAACATGTTCTCTACTTTTCTGACTACCCCACCATGTTGAGTGGCATGGTTTCCATTGAGCTGTCCACAAAGATATTCTGGTCTATTCCCTGCATTTTTTTTCCAGTTAATTTAGAGCACAGCTGAAATTATTCTTTCCAACATGTTACTTTGCATTTGTAAACAGTGAGTTTCATCTGCCATTCTGCTACCCTTTCACCTAGCTTTGTTAGTTCCCTTTGAAGCTTCTCATGGTCTTCTCTAGTCTAACCCAAACAGCTTTGTGCCTTCTTCAAATATTGGTACTTCTTTCTTTACCCCATTTTTCCACATCATCATTTGAAGCCCTTCTCTATGCCCAATCTTCTCACCTACACATTGATATCACAGAGAGTTTCCCTTGTCTAGCTGGCCGTATGCATGGTACTGGAGATATTTCAAAGAAAGCTACCACAGGTGCCCTAAAAAGACATCTTTGCTCTAGTAATCGAAACTCTGCTTCCAGGACCTCTCTTCTGTATATTCACCATGGCCACTGCTTCATCCACAGCACACTCTGGAAGTCTCGTGAGCGCTACCAGTTTACACCTCATAGGCAAGCTACTGAATAGGTTCTCATGAACGTTATATGCCCAGCTATTAGAATTTCTGATGTTCATATCCACTGTCACCACAGCTTGTCTACATCTAACAACTGTAGCCCCATCTCTTGGAGAGTCATCTTCTCAGAATGGGAGGAGCCTTCAGCTTCCTTAAGGCACTTATTCAGACATCATCAATATATATGAGTTGTTTAGAGTTCATTGTTCTTGTCTGCACTGAACTCCCTCAGCCAGCATGGAATACAAGAAACTTATTTAGTCAGAACTACTGATAGGCAACAGCATGTTTGCTTTTTAACACAAGGATCAGTATCAGTTACAGCATCTACTTCCCTCAGTTTTTTGTAACCATGTGAGACTTTTATACTGTGGGATACCTGTAATAACAATATGCATTTGAACAGGCCAGGAGGCATCTTCAGTTAAATAAGAAACAAAATATTTGAGTTCAGAGTGGAAAGTTATTCTAAGGATGGCAGGTTGTTTTAATCTAATAGAGATAGGTAAGGCAGAGAGGCTAAGGGATGGCTATTTCACAGCCATTGAGAAAGATTACACTACTAAATATTATTTGTGACAATAGAGAGGAATCTTAGAGTAGACAGCCATGGCATTTCCAGTGGGGCAGAATAAGGTTAAATCAATAGGCCATTACACCTAATGTTAAATCAATCAACTTTTCTTCTTATTTTTTGGCCAACTAGAATAAATCCTGCTAAAAACACATTAAGAACAGGAACAACTAAAACAGCTATTGATTGGATTGTTGAAAAGTTGAAGTTTGTTGCAATTATAAACACTGCAATATGTTTTCCAGGAACACTACTCGTGCCAAATGGGCAAACCCCCATAAACTAATAAGGCCAAGATTTAAAAAAAGTATCCAGTGATTGTGGTTGCTTCAATTTTTGGGTACTCAACTTGAGACACTGTAAGGGACTGCGGAAGACTTTGTTACAGCCTAGCTAGGGAACTTCCGCTTTCTCGAGGCCGCCCGGTCACTGGAGGACATGGAGAACCAACTCAAACCGGTTTTAGGCGGTTTTGTCTGCCTTACATGGCCCATTGCCAGGTAGTGGAAAGCCCCCTTAGGAAAGTACCTAATTATGAGTACTGTTTCTGTGCACTGCTTATTATGGCTCGCTGATCGCCCCTTCGTTGGACTCCATCCCAGGCAAAGCTCCAGTGTGCTGGGTTCTCCGCCTCCGTGACAGCAACGCTTGGAGTCCCCGTTGCGGGTGTGTCACTAACCTTCAATAAAGCCAATAACTCGCTGCTTAGCTGCGTGTGGGTCTCGTTTTGCAGAGTGCCTCTGCCGGCCTGTGGTGCTTCGAACACCTTGGCCCAGAACAGACACATTAAAGGGGTCTTATTTTCACAAATTGCTGAGCATACATCTATCCTCTGAAAATCAGGTCCCTTTAGTGTGTCTGAAGATGGGTGCTCAAATATTGGGATATCTAAAATCATTCATCCCTTTTGAAAAATTTGGCCTGAGTGGGAATGGGGAAAAGCAGAACATTTCACATAAAAGTTGCTGAGCTTTGATACAATAATGAAAACAGACATTTGCTTTTCAATAATTTGTCCCTACCTCCCACTCCTTACAGCGATTCAAAGGGATTCCCATTGGGAATGAGTAATTGCAACCTGTAGGCAATGTACATCAAGGCACAATGTAACAATAAATAAATAATTTAAAAACTACCCAATTAAACATGAAGCCAAGTCAGAAGGAAAAGAGGGCAGAAAATGTTGCTCCATTTGATCAACAGCCTGAAGATAAAATCCTCTAAAGGAGAAACTGCTGCACAGCTTCCATTCAGAATTCTTGAGGAAACAACTTACTTGAAATTATAGCAAACAGAGATCCCATAAAAGCAAAAGTGCATACAGGAAAGAGGCATTTTCATGTGACTATAGAAAAGAAAATGGTAACATGACTGCTTGTTAAAAAACAAAGTGATTAAGCATGGTTCTTTGAAATGTTAAAAAAATCCTTTTATAGAAAGATATTACAAATCAGGTCAAATTAATAACTTATGCAGATGGAATTTTAAACAAGCTGTTGCTTTGAAGAAATTGCTACCTGTATACTAAGTAGTTGAGTTAAATAAATTATCATGTGTGAGGCTTTGAAGTTTTGAAAATTTATCAAACTATATTTAAAATCAGGCCTGGGCAAACTATTAATAAACCAGACAGTCACAGAAACAAATTATTTATAACTAAAGACAATTGTTGGCATTCTTCGTTATCAGAAATGTAGCAGTCTAGTTCTTGGTAAAAATTAATGCAGTATATTTTGTCCATGTAAGTTGTCATCAAGCTATGATTTTTCCCAAAGCTTCAAAATAGGGAAGCTAAATAATTTCCTGTTAAGAAAATAAAGGGCCAAATCATCAAAAATTGGTACCACAAAATGTGGATGGGTAAATTCTGTGTTTCCTGTGTACATTCCACATGTGTGCAAAAAGAATCCACAATAGGCATATGCCAATATGGCATATGCAACTATTTGCTAGTGCACACTGTTCCTACATGTTTGTTACTTTCAGTTTTGATACTCACAATAATAAGCACTGTGTACCAGAGTAAGTGTTTCCAGGATTACATTCTAAGACCCACTACTCTGACCTTGACTTCAGGTTCTCCGTAAAGAGCAGCTCCAAAGTGCACATAATATTGTATTTTACCTTAGTGACAACAACAGCAAAAGAATCTCCAGTCTAATCCCTGTTCATGGAAACCATCATCATCTTCAAACTGTGTTTCTTCCAAAAGTGAGGAAGTAGCTGTTTATTCAGACCC